GGGGGGGGTTCTATGCAAAAAGGCTCTGATGATTATTTTCGTCAATATAATGATGCAATGATAGTAACAATATTAAAAGCAACAACAACAGCAGCAATATTGTAATGTTGATACAAATCATGGTAATAATATTGATAAATTCAATGGGACCCCTTTTGAGTTTGGTTCAATGACCTAAACCTGAAAAGAATGTTGACAGGTTCGACTGTGAACTTTGTTCGATGCTGTTGCCCGCCATTGTGGCGTATGATTGATTGTCAACAAATAACTGTGAGGACAAATACATGCACAGGTCAAATTTTGTTCACGCCGACTTCTGGTTGATACGTACACATTAGTCAGCCCGACTTCTCAGCCCTGTACGATTCTACAGATCCGACAAGTTGAGTAAGTGTACATCCTACTTTTGATACCGGGGCACACTCTTATTGTGTCACATGGCAGAGGTCGCACGCTAAGAACAGTTTTATAGTGCATAGCAGATGTTTCGAGAGGTTATTCAACTTTCCCGGTCTCTGACTCTTACGGACGGCTGCTACGGCAAAGTGGGTTTGTTTGTTTTTTGCCCCAAAACAAGAAGGTTCGTGGTTCAAACCTCCTTCAGGTCTAAATTGCTGTGGTACTCTCGGGAAAATTCTCTTAGCCCAGTGGTGCCGTTTGAAAATCTGCCTGGGAAAGGACCAACGCTGTTCTAGTGACTGACGACTGTGAACATTTTACGTCCCCATCGGCACAACTGAGATCATTTTGGAGGCGGACTTCTTCCATCGGCCGGTCTGGAGCAATTAAAATTGAGTGGATTGCAGATCCGCAATAGAAAAAGGGAGATATTCGATAAAGTAGACATCCCCTCTTTGGAATTGGACACATCAGTCTACTTTATTGTTCAGTGGCGAAGAACCTACTCAAGCCGTGAAATTCGGTAATTTTTCTATAATCAATTATTTTAAAATAAAATAAAAACATTAAGTCAGTTTCTGACATTTCAGCACTGCACTTGTAACCTAGACCGGTGCACCGAAGTCGCCATAAGGACCCCAGACCGGCTCTCGTTTCTCCTGTCCACTTGCCTTTCTCACGTTCATGTAGATGGCACGTACTCCTCACTCACTTAACCATCTCCATCTACCCCCCCCCCCCAACCCGCCTCTTTTCCGAAAGAGAAAAAAAAGAAAAAAGCGTCTACTGTTTTAGTTTCCTTTTCCGTCTAGAAATGAGTGAGACTGAAGTGAGGCCTTGAGTAAAGGCAGTACTCAGTTTAACTTGAACTAAAAGAGCCACTGTAGTGACTGAAGACGACATTAATGCAATTACGACATAAAATGATATGGATATTAAATATGTATATTATTTAGGCGTGTGTCTGTGTGTGTTCAAGTGTGCACTTTTGTGTGTATGTACGTTTGTGTATGTGTGAGCATGTGTGTATTTGTGTGCGCATGTGGATGTGTGTTAATGTGCGTGTTTGTTGGTGTGCATGTGATAAAGAAAAACAAAAAGGAATTGGAGCTAGAATTGTTCACGAGTGATATAAAGTCACTAGCTGTACATGAATAAATGCCAACATTCCTGCAAAAATAAGGGGTTTTTTCAAACATGAATCACTAAATCTGAAAAACCAGGAAAGAAATAACGCATTAAAGGAAGAGAGACAGACAGACAGACAGACAGACAGACAGACAGACAGACAGACAGACAGACAGACAGAGAGGGGGGAGGGAGAAGGAGTGGAAGGGGGAGGAGTGAGAGAGGGAATGTGGGGGAGAGGATTCAAAGATACAGAGAGAGAAAGAGAGAGAGAGAGAGAGAGAGAGAGAGAGAGAGAGTGAGAGAGAGAGGAGAGTGAGAGAGGGGATGAAGGGAAAGAAAGAGAAGAGAAGGACACAAAATCAAAACCAAATCTGACGATTTTATCGAGGAGGAAATGGGAGACGGATGTTAAATAAAAGCAAAACGTCCGGCAAAAAAATAGTGCATAAGAAAACAGAGCAAGGGCGCCGTGGAGAGGTTTCCTGACGCCAAGTGTGGCCTCATGTTTCAACAGAGACCGTATTTTTGTGTGTTTGTTGAGCTCAAAAGGCTTTCTTTTCTAGTTCTTTTAATACTGGCATCAATTTTGTGGAAAATTATGAGCGTTCTTTTAGTTATTGTGTCCACGTTGTTGGGTTTCTTTGTTTATTGTTTTTCTTCATTTGTATGTTTGTTTGTCTCCTTGTTTTTTGGTGTGGCTTTTGTGTATTTGTTTGCAGTTTGTTTGTTTATTTGTTTCCATGATCACATAGAAACCGTACAAAAAAAGCTGCCGGCCATGTGACCCAGAGATCGTGGAGTTAGTGCGACTGATGGAACAGTGGATTGCTTGCCTCCACATCCCCTGATGTGTTTGTTCATCGTGTATGACAAGGCAACATGGTAGAGATAAAGCAAGGTGGCCCTCGTTAAGATAGAGATAAGACAAAACAGTACAAACCATCATAAGATAACACAAAGTTGGCACTGCACCTACACAAACTTGTTTTCGGCTTTTAATACAGTCAGGGGGGGGGGGGGGGGTGTTGTTTGGGTTGTTTGCTTGTTTTTTTTGGGGGGGGGGTTAAGCATTCCTTTTGAACCCTTCCATATCACGATAAATTGTCATAAGACTTATTTCGTGTGCTTTCTCTACATAATTTCTGTTTGCACTCTGCAGTTCTTAGATGTAAAAAACAAACGTTAAAAAAAGATTCTAAATTCATCTATTTACCAGTCAACAATTGTTAAAAGGGTACTATCGTAGCATCCACCAGGACTCGGGATTCTGGGAAATGTTATGAATATTATTTTCGGTCGCTGTAGACAGCTCTGATGCTTTTTCACGGTTTGTGATGGTCGTCAATTTTCTTCTTTTTTTAAATAGCGATTCAACAGTCAGAGAGACCGTACTTCCATGGGAACGAGTTCTGCCCACGTTTTCTGTTAAAACCCCTGTTGATGTGTTCCTCCAGATCCTTATTAAACGTAGTGGTAGGCTTTCAACTCCATTTATCAATTTCTCTGTTCAATTCACATCAACTCTCATACCACGATAGATCTAATCTTTGAACGACTTTGAAAAGCAGAGAGCGGGCGTACAAAGGGCGTAATCGAATTTTGTTTGCTGCCGATCTCGGGTACATTTACAGGGTATTTGTTAGTGTCGTATACTCCGGGTCAAATTGAAGGCAGCTCATTTGTTTTGATGGAGGCCCCACTCATACTGTGAAATTTCCGTTTGTCTTATGGCTGCGAACATGTGAAAAAAGCAATTTTCGCCCGTTCGTCTCTCTTCACCGAGTCGTGTTATGCTTCGTAGCCTTGCGACGTGCGGAAACTTTCTTAGTGTCTATCCGCAGGTTCTTAGAAGAAAATGTTTCGCCAGTTTCAAACTCGCAAGAATCAGTCTTTAGGCTGCTGTGTCAGGTTTAGTTTGAGACCGGGGAAAAAGTCAAAACTGGTATTTTTTTAGTAGAGCAGTAGTTTCCGTTGAACTACATAGCCCATAACTTCCTATTCAACAGGCACACATCTGATTTAAGATAAGTTTGTTTTGTTAAGGAACTTACCTAAGATTGGAAAAGACAAGTCAAAACAATAAAGACAACCAGGGGTAGAACTTAATACACAAACAAGACAGAAGGTAAGACGTACATAAAGAAAAATAATGCAACCCAAAGGTAAGACATAATATATAAGAAAAGACATGGTGATCCTTGTGGCTTCTGCTATGGCCAATAAGAACAATTCTGGTAGAGAAAGGTTTGGCACATTTTGAACATTTAAAAGCTTAATTTCAACTTGGGAGTTTGCAGGTCTCTTGTTTGGCTTTAGCATTTCTTATTCATGAAGCCCCATATGGCTTGGTGCCCACCATGACTACTACTCTCCAGCAGGGGCTGTGAGGAGCGAGGCTCTCCCACGTTGAAGGATTTATGTTGAAGTCCTTCACTGATATTTTCTGGGTGTTTTTGTAACGCTTTTTTTTGGTGCGCTAACTTTACGCTTCCACGAGATTAGCTCGGAATAGAATACTGCGTCTGGGATTCTGAAACCAGGCATTCGTACGACTTTTCCTGAGAAGTTGAGTCATGTTATGCTTAGAAAACAAACTCTAGGCATTTGTCTTTTTGCACCTAGGGCAAGACATGGATAAGACAAGACAAGATGACCTGAGGTAAGACATTGTTAAGACAATACAAGAGAAAACAACAGGAAATAAGACATAGATGAGACAAGCAAAGACACCATCAATTTCGACAAAGATTAGACAAGGTAAGGAAAACTAGAAGCCAGTCCGAAGATCACGGGGTCAACTCACCATCTCTGTCATGTCCGAGGCTCGCAGGGATGGGGCACGCCTCTCCTTGTTATGGAAACGCATGAGATGAGCCACTTCCCTCCTCATATCAACAAGTTCCGAGGATACTACAGCCACCAACGACAGCAATGTCACCAGCATCCAAACAAAGCACTCCATTTCGACCTTACGACCCTACAGGTGTCCAGGAAATGTTAATGAATTTCCAGAGAACTTCAGAAGCTTTATGTGAGGCCCAGAAAAACCTCACTAAAATCAGTACTTTTTATTAAAGTCAAGCTACCTAAAAAAACCTGACTGTATCTCAAGAAGAGTTTCCTGTAACGTTGAACCCAGTGTCAATGCTTCTGTATTTAAACCGTAATGATTATAAAGAATACACTAATTAACCCTTGTTGTGTGTGACTTCACTGTTATTGTTCTCCTATCATTGCATGAGAAGCCTCTTTTCTTCCTTCACTCCCAAGAAAATTAATGTTTCTCTGTAGGTAATTATCACAATCTTCACATTGGGATATAAGAAAATCACGCCAGTGCTCAAGTGCCTTTCAGGAAAACGTGAGCCCAGAGACTTCTAGTTGAGGACAGAGTTCAATGTCACTTGTGTGGAATGTCTGGCTTCTGTCAAGTGCGTCGTTCGGCTGGCTAGGGTCTGGGAAAAAAAAGATCAATGTTAAGGTTGAGTTTTTTTTACATTTGCTTTGATAAAAAAGAATATCTCAATACCTAGAGCCAACAAAATAACATAGCTTCTTAAGATAGAAGATCAAGAGCTCTCAGACTATCCAACCTGAATTGTTATCCCACTTTCATTCTCATTGCACTGCATCAGTCAGTTTGGATCTAGTCCAACGTACAGCATTTTAAGAGAGATTTAAACTTACCTGTCCTTTGTTACTCTGAACACCGTGTCTTGACGAAAGAAGCAGAGTAGAAGAGTATAGAAATGGGGGGGGGGGGTGCATCATTGTAGAAACAGCCATCAAATTCAATAGGAGAAGAAAACAAATGCAAATTTTATCGTCATTAGTAGGCGTTAAATGTGCTACGATTGATCCAACGGTAAGGACACCTACGTACTATTGAAGCTCTTTACGTTGATGTGAGGTGTAACATGGAGCATACACTACATGTATACGGAAATATGAAACAGAGAAGTCGGAAATAAAAGTCACCCTGAAGATTAAATGCAATGTCAATGTGCTGCTTTTTTTTTACCTTACTCCTCTCTCTCTCTCTCTCTCTCTCTCTCTCTCTCTCTCTCTCTCTCTCTCTCTCTCAATC